TGTGGTGGTGTGGGGGATGGTGTGAGTGGTGTGGGGGATGGTTCGGTGGTGTGGGGGATGGTGTGAGTGGTGTGGGGGATGGTTTGAGTGGTGTGGGGGATGGTGCGAGTGGTGTGGGGGATGGTGCGAGTGGTGTGGGGGATGGTGCGAGTGGTGTGGGGGATGGTGTGAGTGGTGTGGGGGATGGTGAGAGTGGTGTGGGGGATGGTGTGAGTGGTGTGGGGGATGGTGTGAGTGGTGTGGGGGATGGTGTGGTGGTGTGGGGGATGGTGTGAGTGGTGTGGGGGATGGTGTGAGTGGTGTGGGGGATGGTGTGAGTGGTGTGGGGGATGGTGTGAGTGGTGTGGGGGATGGTGTGAGTGGTGCGGGGGGATGGTGTGAGTGGTGTGGGGGATGGTGTGAGTGGTGTGGGGGATGGTGTGAATGGTGTAATTACCTAAGTGTAGTTACAGGATGAGAGCTACGCTCGTGGTGTCCCATCTTCCCAGCACTCTTTGTCATATAACGCTTTGAAACTACTGACGGTCTTGGCCTCCACCACCTTCTCACCAAACTTGTTCCAACCGTCTACCACTCTGTTTACAAAAGTGAATTTTCTTATATTTCTCCGGCAGCTTTCTTTCGTTAAATCTATGTCTCGTTTAAATCTATGACCTCTTGTTCTTAAAGTTCCGGGTCTCAGGAATTCTTCCCTATCAATTTTATCGATTCCTGTTAATATTTTGAACGTAGTGATTATATCGCCTCTTTTTCTTCTATCTTCTAGTTTTTGCATATTTAATACCTCTAACCTCTCCTCGTAGCTCTTGTCCTTCAGTTCTGGGAGCCACTTAGTGGCATGTCGTTGCACCTTTTCCAGTTTGTTGATGTGCTTCTTAAGATATGGCCAATACACAACCACTGCATATTCCAGCTTTGGTCTGACAATAGTCGTGAACAATTTCTTTAGTATTTCTCCACCCATGTATTTAAAAGCAATTCTGAAGTTAGAAAGTGTAGCATAAGCTCCAAGCACAATGTTCTTAATGTGGTCCTCAGGTGACAGTTTTCTATCTAGAACCACCCCTAGATCCCTTTCTTTGTCAGAATTCTTGAAAGATTTCTCACATAATTTATAGGTTGTGTGGGGTCTATGTTCTCCAATTCCACATTCCATAACATGGCATTTATTCACATTAAATTCCATTTGCCAAGTGTTGCTCCATATACTTATTTTGTCCAGGTCTTCTTGAAGGGCATGACAATCATCAAGGTTTCTTATCTTCCCTATTATCTTAGCATCATCAGCAAATATGTTCATATAATTCTGTATTCCCATTAGTAGATCATTTATGTAGACAATGAACATTACCGGTGCAAGAACTGAACCCTGTGGTACTCCTCTCGTGACATTCCTCCAATCCGATACATTGCCTCTGATTAAGGCCCTCATTTTTCTGTCAGTTAGAAAATTTATCATCCGTGTTAGAAGCTTACCTGTCACCCCTCTAATATGTTCCAGTTTCCAGAAAAACCTCTTATGGGGAACTCTGTCGAAAGCCTTTTTTTAGGTCCAGATACATGCAGTCAACCCAACCATCTCTTTCCTGTAAAATCTCTGTGGCTCAATCATAAAAACTGAGTAAGTTTGTTACACAGGATCTTCCAGATCGAAAACCATACTGTCTGTCTGATATTATATCGTTTTCCTCCAGGTGTTCTACCCATTTAGTTTTAATTATTTTTTCCAATATTTTGACTATTACACTTGTCAATGATACAGGTCTATAATTAAGGGGGTCTTCCCTGCTTCCACTTTTGTAGATTGGAACTATGTTAGCCTTTTTCCACACATCAGCTACAACTCCTGTAAACAGGGATGCCTGAAAAATCAGGTGACGTGGAATGCTTATCGACACCTAAAGGGCATGAAAGATATTATAATGAAGCCGCACACAACTAAGAAACAAACTAAAATTCAAAAGTTTTTGGTACGGTTTCACAGTAGGCCTACAGGACCAGCACTAGCAAGGACTCCCTTTGTGAGTCAGGTGAAAAAAAAGTGGGGTTTGGGGTTGGAGGTTTTTTTTTTTTGAAGGGGCTGGACGGATGGAATGAATTCCGCACTGGAACGAATCTGCTTCGCCCCATATAGTTTGCTCAAGTGAGGACACACTTATACAACCTGTGTATATAGTGTAATATCAGCAAAAGCACTGTTTGATTGATCGTAGAATATAATAGATACTGTAGAAACACCTAATCCGGAATCCGCCAATCCGGAAAACACTCAATCTGGCAAAAATCGTGGCCGGATAAAATTATCTCCCTACCCGGCCAAAATGTCCATAAAAGCCGGACTAGGGGATATTTAGCCGGATTAGCGTATACTGATAAAGAGTTTGAAGTCTAAAATTCTCTCCAAAACCAAGGGTCAACTTGCTGCAGAATATAACATATGAACCTTTACCACTGAGAGAAAGACAAGCGAAATGCTGAGCCTAGCACTCAATGTACACCACCATCAGAAAAGGAGAGAGTCAGGCAGGGTTCAGGCAAGCTGGGAGGCTTCAGTCAAGCAGGGAGGCTGGAGTGGGTGTGGGTATCAGGAGTGGGTATGAGTGTGGTGGGTATCAGGGGTGTGTGTCGGGAGTGGGTGGGTGTCAGGGGTGGGTGTCGGGAGTGGGTCTGTGTCAGGGGTGTGTGTCGGGAGTGGGTCGGTGTCAGGAGTGGGTGTCAGGGGTGGGTGTCAGGGGTGAGTGGCAGGAGTGTCAGGGGTGGGTGTCAAGGGTGGATGGGTGTGGTGGGTGTCAGGGGAGTGTGTCAGGAGTGGGTGTCAAGGGTGGGTGTCAGGGGTGAGTGTCAGGGGTGTGTGTCAGGGGTGGGTGTCAGGGGTGGGTGTCAAGGGTGGATGTCAGGATTGAAGGTATGGGGTAGGTGTTAGGAGTGGGTGTTAGGAGTGGGTGTCAGGAGTGGGTGTCAGGGGTGGGTGTCAGGGGTGGGTGTCAGGGGTGGGTGTCAGGGGTGGGTGTGGTGGGTGTCTGACATACATGATCTGCCCGCCCACTCACCCACCTATCAACCAAGCAACTAACCACCCACCCAGCCCCACACACTAATTATAGCGTGTGGGGTAAAGAAAGGTTCAGTATTACAAATTATTTTGTTTGTGGTATAAAAATTGTTGGAAATGGTCACTTTTGGACTTCCCGGTGAAAAGGTACGTTAATCCGGAAAAGTGTTAATCCGGCTAGGTGTACTTCCCATATAGTCTGGATTAGCACGCTAATACAGTATGTCACATATATGAGCCCCATAATTTTGATCATAGCAATTTTCCACACACTGAACTTGGTTTGCGAACTTAAGTTATCCGAAAGTTCATTTCCCGATTGGGGTTGAGGTTTTACTCTTCACGAACTAAGTTCGGGTAGTGAGGAAGAGGTCCGCCAGGCCTCACGCCGGCCCGGGGTGGTGGGAAGGTGGGTGGAAGATGACCTAGTTTGCATGCAGGCAAGCAGGGAGGGAGGGAGGCAAACGGAAAGGCAGTGAAGGAGCGAGTTAGCGAAGTCAGCGTGTTAATTCGTTGACAAAGCACCAGGTGACCAAAGCCTTCCACCCATATTAAAACTTATATCTTAGAATGGCATAAATATTGTACAGCTATGTTGATTTTTGTTTTAAGTGTACAGTATTACGATACATTAATAATCATTAACATGTTTTATTGATTCCTGTTTATTAATTAAACAAATACATTTTTACTTATGAATTATGGACAGTTGAACTACGTGACCTTGAAGCAAAGCGTGTGTATGGGATGTAGGGGGATGGGAGGGAGGTCTGTCGGTGTTTGGGGAGGGGCGGGCTCAATCCGATAAGCCTATCACACTTAACTGCGTTAGCCAGATTTGTTTCTTAAATTCTAGATGCACATCATCATATATATTTTTGGCTACAAATTTTGTTTAGTAATATTATTAGGAAAATAAAAAGTTATAAATATACTTGTTTCATGAATGCTTTATTGAATTAAATGAAGATTCTCCAGGCTATCTGTGGCTGGCAATCTACTAAGCTAGCCACCTGGGGGGAGGGAGGGAGACCAGCAGTAGTGAGGGTGGAAGAGCAGCAGTGAGGGTGTGAGGGAGAAGTGGATCAGGACTACTGCAGGCGATGAGTCACAATAACGTGGCTGAGGTATGTTGACCAGACCACACACTATTAAGTGAAGGGACGACGACGTTTCGGTCCGTCCTGGACCATTCTTACGATCGTCTTGAGAATGGTCCAGGACGGACTGAAACATCGTCGTTCATTAACTGTCTAGTGTGTGGTCCGGTCAACGATCAGGACTACTCTTATTGGTGAGTGCAAACAAAGTACTGTCGCATTTATGCTATGAACCTGTCGATTTTGCCCCTAGATGTTTTTTTTTCTCCATTTTCCTACATTTCTCATTTACAAACTTACACGGTAACTGACGGGTCTTTTCTCAGAGGGGTTCGCAAACTAAGTGGTCTTCTGTATATAAATTTCCCAAATTGCATAATTTTTAATATTACTGCAAAAAAACAAAAGAAACAAATGATAAACATCAAAATAATTGTGAAAAATTTCATTTGTGGCAACTGCCGCCCCATGGGGTGGAGGGGTCGAATGACCCTGAGCGCTCCATCGCTCAGTCCCCATAATTTGCTCAACTTTTCTGCTCCATCATGGGTAAGGTATGTCACATACAATATTTTATTTTAGTTTCAAGTGATCAGAGACTGCAATTTAACAATATAAGAAGAGAAAATAATATTTTGCAAACAGTTTATTTTTGGCGCACCATGGGAATGTCATATTTTAAGGCAGCACAACATGGTGGTAAAGCATCATGACAAATGTTAGCTATATTATGTACATGATAAACTAAGCACTGGTAAAAAAAAATTCAATATACTATACATATAACATTCAATTAATATGCATCAATGATGCCAAATACTGTACACTAAATTGTTTAATTAACTTACGATGGATCTTGAGCATTACAGTGGTATAAGTAATTGGGGATCACTTCTTCGGCACTTTTTACTATACCAGAGAACTTGCGAATCAAGTCTGGTCTAGCTTTCTGAAGCAATTTTGGACCTGTAGAAGAAACAACTTATAATATCCTACAAATTCCACCACATATCATCAAGAATTTGAAAGGTACAAATACTAAGAGTAATAATTACACAATGATTTAATTAATTTTGACTGAACGAAGAGAACACAAAATGTTGACAACAATGTCGATAGCTCATAAAGCAAATAAGATTATCCATATACAGTACACTCCCCAGCTTTGCTATCGGACCTAAATCATTCGTTTATTCCATCTATTCATTTGTGATCCGGCCTCGGAGAAGCCTAAAGAAGGTGATCCGGCCTCGGAGAAGCCCAAGAAGTTGCTGGTGTCCCACCTGTGTGAAACACACAGGTGGGACACCAGCAACGAAGCCATCTGCTCACCATACAAGTGGTGATAGACTCGAGTTAGAAGGACCAGACGCGAAGACTCGAGAAGAGCAAACCAGCCACGTAACAGAATGGGCCAATCTGCTGAAAGAGGCAGAGCCACGGGAAAACCCTCGGGTTCAGACACCGTGCAAGCAGCGCCTGAAACCAAGGCTGGGCTAGCCATCAAATGGCCAAGAAGGCTACTCTACCTTGGTAAGTCCAAAAGCAAGCTAGGACCTGGAGTAACAGTGGAACCGGGGGGCAGAGGTACATGTAACCCCTACCCAGACCAGTCCTGCCTGAAGGCATCAACCCTGATGGCCTTGTAGTTGGGAAAAGGCTCCACATATACACATTGTGACTTCGCTCTCAGTGCACCAGGTACAGATAAATTTTCGCTTCCTGTTTCTTCATTGTGTGCTTGTAAATAACGCACTCACGTACACCCTTGGCTTTAGAACTTGTAGGTTGTATGTAGCCAAGCTTGTAAAGCATAAGGTAGCATTGAAAAGATTATAGGAAAAGATCAATTTGTAAGGTAGTCTTGAAAAGATCATTTTGTATGGTCCCACACAGGAAGAGATTCAGCTTACCTCAAGAGTGTCCATCAGTCAGGAAGAGATTCAGCTTACCTCAAAGAGTGTCCGCCAGTCAGAAAGAGATTCAGCTTGCCTCAAAGAGTGTCCATCAGTTAGGAAGAGATTCAGGTATTCTTGAAAATATCTATGGAAAACACCACCATGGAAGCCACTAACACTGTTCATCTATGCTACTTGTATCAGATGCATCATCATTGAACCCAGAAAACGATTCATCTATGTATCATCTAAATAAATTGGAGATAGCATAGGATTGCAAGGGTGACACTCAGAGCTACAACTGGATATGCTTGCTGTATCGTCCTCATAGGTGCTGTATCCCTTGCATCCGACCTTTGTGTTAGGTCCTTATTGTGCCTAGCTTCACCAATATTGTGACCCTTATGTTCTTCAAACAATAAGGTTTGAATTTCACCAACAGAGAGTTATCTTTCAACACCGCGTCGGACAGGTGTTTGGGAGCCAGAGGCGCGTGTGCCACCCATGGTTGCTCATTCAGTACTAATCCAGCCAGCAGCCCTAGGGCATTCTGGGAATTTTTTCCAAGATGGCTGCCTCTCACTGGAGGTACTAAGAGTCCATTTCGTACACAACCAACCTCGTACACATTTAGAATTGGTATCGAAAATTCAAAAAGAGAATACTCGGTTGGCGCATTTAAGTGGTTAATCGACTGAGCTACGACATGGTCAAAAGGAGTTGAAACCGAAGTTCTACTGAACTCACTGGATCCTGCAACCTCTCCGAGGCACAAACTAGGGTTTTTACATAACTCCCCCCATGCACTCGAGCAATGTCAATAGGCCATTCTCCCTCTTCGCCCTTACTTCATTACACACAGAAATCACAATTGCGTGATGCATCATATGAACAAATCAACAAGGGCCGTGACGAGGATGTGTTCATTTGATGTATCATGCAATTGTGATTTCTGTGTGTAATGAAGTAAGGGCGAAGAGGGAGAACGGCCTATTGGCATAGCTTGAGTGCATGGGGGAGTTGTGTAAAACCCTGGTTTGTGCCTCGGAGAGGTTGCAGGATCCAGTGAGTTCAGTAGAACTTCGGTTTCAACTCCTTTTGACCATGTCGTAGCTTAGTCGATTAAGGAAGCGTCTGGGATGCTCTCGGACGCAGGTTCGAATCCTTGTCACAGCCCTTGTGGATTTGTTCATTTGATGTATCACGCAACTGTGATTTCTATGTGTAATTAAATCCACTTACCCCATGGCCCAGCTGTTCTCACAACAAAGAGAGGGTTGAAGGGTTGGAGCACGGCACCAATGACTTTGACCCAGAAGGGAAATTTATAGCGCTCGGCCACATCCAACGGACGTTCTGGGAAGCCCCATGGATCAGCCAAGATGAGGTGATGAATCCTGCATGGAATATTCATCTTATATTAAATTTTCCACTGAGAGCATAAAAATCTAAAAATTACAAATGCCTTTTCCCAATGTCTTAAAACTACAGTATTCTTGCTGTTATAAATCATATGCAATAAACAAAATCAATTTGAAAATTCATTTAAATTACTATACACTAAAATATGTTTCAGATGCTAAAGAAAACAGATTCAAAATTAAATTCCTATGGATACTATCACATGATGGCATCTCAAGACATGACAATGTTGATATGCTTGCAAAGACAGCCAGTAGAAAACCAGTGGTAGAAATTGATATGGGTTCTTGAGGTTATCTTGAGATGATTTCAGGGCTTTTTATTTAGTGTCCCCGAGGCCCAGTCCTCGACCAGGCCTCCACCCCAGGAAGCAGCCCGTGACAGCTGACTAACACCCAGGTACCTATTTTAATGCTAGGTAACAGGGGCATAGGGTGAAAGAAACTCTGTCCATTGTTTCTCGCCGGCGCCCGGGATCGATCCCGGGACTACAGGATCACAAGTCCAGTGTGCTGTCCACTCTAAACTGAGGAGAAGAAGAAAGAGCGCGCTGTCCAAAGACCAGGAGAAGGCCAGAGGTGAAACAACGCACGAGATAGCTTACACAAGAGTGCAGATGTAACACCAAGACCGAAAGCAAGCTGAAGCGGCTCTGCCAGCACCGCACAAAACGAGGCGACAGTATGGGGCAAGATGACGGCCCCGAACTTCCACCAACAAATGCAGCCACCTAAGAAGGGACAGAAGGAAAAGGAAGGACCGCCAAAAAAACCCATACTGCTGCCAAAAAGAAGCACGCAAGTAGAACACCAACAATGAAGCCATTTGACCATCAACCAAAGGTGAATGACTCGAGGCAGACCTAACCAGCTCTTTCAAAGTTCATTCGAGCCTAAAAAGAGGCGGAGCTGCGGGAAGATCTCGGGTGCGACCACCAACCAAGCAGAGCCGGAACCCAAGCAGGCAAAGAAGGATATGGAACGTCTGCCGAACATAAAAACTCCCCAATGCGAGCGAGCGAGCCAGGAGATTGGAGACTACGGGTCCAATGCAAGACTCCAGAGAAGGGACACCGCGAGACCCTGAAAATGCCAACAGGCAGGGCAAGCCAGAAAAACAGAAACCCAAACCTGGCAACATGAGGGCCAAAAGGCACAAACACACAACAGTGTATAGGAGAAAACGAGAAAAAGACCAAGAGAACAGCCCCAACGGCCAGGGACAAGAGTGAAGCAGGAAGATGACAAACGAAGAAGGCATGCAGCAAATCTGGAACGAAAGGGACACAACCAACCCACAGAGCTGCAGACCATGTCCCAACAAGTCATGCCAACAACACAGAGTCGCAGGCCCTGTCGCAACAAATCAAACTGAAGAAGGTGCAAAGGTTTGCCACCAGACTAGTACCCGAACCGAGGGGTACGAGCAACGAAAACACTAATGAACACAAGTGTACACGTAACATGCGACACAGGCGGAAGGAGCATCCAAAGGAGCCAAAGAAACGCAAGAAAGAAACATTCCAATTGGCAGAGTAGTAAACAAATGGAATGCATGAGGAAGGGAAGTGGTGGAGGCTGACCCCACACACAGCTGCAAGTGCAGACAAGACAGAGCCCAGTAGATGTCAGGGAAGCAACAAGGGAGAGGCAGGACGAAAAAGCCAAGCTCAACCCCAGGAAGCACAACCAGGGACAACCAGGTGAGGACAGAGAAACCAATGTACATGGAAGGGCCAAGCCAGGCACTCCAAGACGGGAAAGGAATGAGGGACCCCAGAGAAGACCACGAAAAATGCCACAATCATTCCCCAACACGCAACCCCAGGCACAAAACTGCAGCAAAATGTCACCCCAACATCCTGACACAGTAACAAGTACCACATGTCACTAATGCACATGTGCGAGAGGCGAAACACCCGAAAGAAAAGGACGCAAAACACTAGCACTGGTGCACACCGCTCAGACCAAAACAAACTCCCACGGCGCATGCGCAGAACACGATGTCCAAACCGCACAACTCGCTTGGCGGGAAGGCGCCAACTAGGACTACTTCACAAGAAAAGTAGCCAAACAGTTCGTGACCCGAGTGAACCGCTAAATAGAAGAAACAGCCCAGCTCATGGGACAGGAGCCAAAAAAGGAGTAAACAGCTACATACATAGCCGGCTTATGAAATGAAGACAATAAACTTGATCGGGAACCCAATTGGGCTACAAGTAGCCCAATCTGTCATCCAGGACCAGGACTATGGAAAGAAAACAAGCAGTGCCAAGAGAGAGCACGGAGAGAAGAGACCACAACAAAAGAATGCAACAGGGTCGAAAACCAAGAATAAGCACAGAAGAGGACCAACAAGCCCTAGAAAGGACCGGAGGAAAGCCACACTGAAAGACAACAGACATTCCAATAATACGAAAAGTAGCGAAAAACCTTCCTGAACCTTCAAGAACACACAGAAAGAAGCACAAATCACGAAGGCTCATAAAGGCACAGTCGCACCCGAGACCAAAAGTCATGTAGAACCCCAAAAAGAGGGGAACATGACGGAGAAGTACCATCCCACGAAAAAGGGGGGAATAACGGAGAACAACACCCACCAACAGAACGGAACCAACTGACTCAAGGGACAAGGAACCGAGCCAAGGGCGGGGCCGACGCCCAACAACTCATACGGAGAGGGGGGAGGAAAAAAATTCCACTCTGCGTAACCCGCAAGCCCCGCTCAGAGGGTAGAAAAACCCTGGAGAGGTCCAACGGGGCCCTAGGTACCCCAAGTCAGCCCCTCACCAGCCCCCAGGCCGAGCTGTCCCCCCAAAGCCCCGGCCTCACAAGAAAAAACGGGGTAGCCGCGAAAATACTAAGGGAGCGAGCCCACTGGCAGACTCGTACAACACAGCTGGAGGAACAGGCTTGAATGCCCCCGTCGCTACCCCGGAAGGGGAATTCCCCGAGATCGCCAGTCTCAAAACCAAAGAAGCTCCGCCCTGACCCCGAACCCACAGTGGTAAGGATCCGGATGCAGGTAGGAAGGGGACCAGACTAGACCACAACAGGGGAAAGACAAGGGGGCGTGGAAGGAACCAAAACAACCAACACCAACCAAAACGGGGCAGCCTCGGGACTTCCTGGGAGCAAACAACCTGCCACCATCGAAGCTCAACGTCCAACGCCCGTGCTGCCTGCACCCGCATAGTCAGCATAAGACTGGGTAACCAAGTCACAAACAAGCAACAAAACTAGCAGGACTCCGGGCCGAAGGTGTCAACGACCCCGCAGGCAGCAGACAGAGGCAAAGACAGAGTCACCCAGAGACAAGGGGACAGAGCAACCCTCAAACTCACTGAAAGTGAAGGGGGACTCTGGGGTCACATCCATCGGACCCATGCGCCCCCAGGGGTTTCCCAGGGTCCTGAGCGTTTACTATAATAGGTCTCGTGCTCAGGTAATCCCTGGCAGGGTACTGCTAACCGGTGCCCAAGTCTACCAAACAACCTTCTAAGAACTAGCCCCGGGATGTGTACACTCATGGGGACCTAGCAGGGGGAACCACCGGAAGAAGGAAGAGTACTCAGTACACAGGGGACACATGGGGCAAGAACGAAGGCAGACCCCCCCAACCAGGCAGACAAACAAAAAGAAAAAAGAAAACCTCACAAGAGGACAGCGTACCCAGGCTGAACAGAGCTGGCCGCCATGATTGGTGAAAACAAGCTGCTTCCAAGGGCTTCCCCTTCCCCCTCCCGGGGAGGGGGGGAGCTGCGCAGACAGCGACGCGGCAACGTGTGACATCATAATCGTTTGTGCGTTTCTTTTAGGGAAGTTCTATCCACTTGTTCGGCTTGTGATAGCAATTTTCACCAGAATAGGGGTTTGTTTTGGGACGCTTACCTTTCTGGGTGCCTGACCCAGTTGATGGCAAACATAGAATGCTTCCAACCGCACAGAGGTTTCTATAGGCCATTGCTCCCCTTGCCTCTCTGAAGGGGCCAGGTTCTGGCTCGAGGTCCCCAGTAGGCCCATAGAACTCCATACACATGACTGATGCCAAAGTCTGACATTAGCATATAAGCGTGGATAAGTACCGGGGAGCTGAAGGGGCTGCACCCAGAAAAACTCCTAAAAATAGCTTTGGAAGAAGTTAAAGCAAATTTAAACATAAATGACTACAATAGGAAAGGAAATTCAACAGGAGAACAGTTTTTGTCAGCACAGACGGAGGAAGTTACACAGGGAATAGAACAGTGCAAGAAGGATATGCAACTTACCTATGCACAAGTGGCCAAGGAGAAGGAAAAAATTGAAGAAGCTGTAAATGAAGCCAAACACTGCAGCAACCAGGATAAAACAAACATTAGGCTGGAAGTGAGAAAGGAATTGGCATCTAACCCAAAGTTGTTGCAAAACACAGTTGATCGGAGTGAGTCCCTGATCATTTTTGGTTGCAAAGAAAAGGAGATAACATCTAGGTCAGAAAGACCTGTAGACGAAGCGAAAGTAGTAGATAAAATTATTGGTCTCATGGAAGGTCTTACTACCATAGAAAACGTGTGCAACTACAGGAGAATAGGCAGGTATGGAAAAGGGAAAGATCGACCTTTGAGGATCACCCTAAACGGTGCCAAACAGATGGAAGAAGTACTAAGGAATGCTAGAAAATTGCAAAGTGATGAGGATGGGAAAGGGTGGTCGTTAAGACGAGATCTTTCAAGAGAAGATAGAGAGAAGCTGAAACTAAACATCGTTGAGGCAAAAGTCTAAATGAGAGCAGAAACGAAGAAGAAATCAATCCTTTTATTCTACAAAGTGATAGGGGTAGGTAGGCCAGTAAAATGGTACAGGAAAAAGGCAAACAAACAAAATGGCTAGAGAGAGAGGGGTAGTGAAGAATAAGGAGAGGGGAAACAAGTTCCTGAAGACTGCATACACCAACATAGATGGAGTGAGATCAAAGATACTGGAGTTAAGTGATGTAA